TTCTAGGTTGTTGTCAACTTCAGTGACCTCCTGGAAGTCATTTGTAGTGTTAAAGACACTTAGATTTACTAAACATAAAACTGTTCTTCATTTTTCTCCTTCCGCTTCCTCTCTTCCATCTGCTGCATTTTTGTGAAACTGTTCCCATGAATTTGAAACATTGCCCAGGAGGCAGGATTTCAGTAGCCAAATAAAATCCTAGTTAGATCCCATTTACCAAGCATCTTTGCCAAGCTGCATTGTGAATTAGAGGGCTATTAAAGAAGGTTAAATGTGTCTTTTTCATTTGAGACCATTTTATTTATGTTTAGACAGTGGGGAAATAGGTTTCCCTACCCCTTAGACTGAAGAAGCCAATAAGTGTTCATTCATACAGATGATATACAATGTATTTGTTTCTACAGAAAAGAAAGCACTTTATTTCTGCCAGAAGGCTACAGTACAAACGCGGATTAGATTTTTTTCATATATTTAACCATCTGTTGACTTTACCAGAAGTTTATATCAAGAAGGACTATGGGTGTCCAAAATTTATTGTCTTGTTTTGCTTACATGGTAGAAGTAAATGGAACCAGGTGACTTTATATAACCTGTCAGGAGTGTAGATTCAGTAAAAGTATTGTACACTCCAGTAATTTGTTGCAGGTGAGGCTGAAGTAGTAAAAGATCCTTGTTTATCAGGATTTCCTTTTTCTGCAGTGTAATTTCCTGATGAACAAAAACAAGTGCATTCATAATCATAATCTTTTTAATCCAGCAATGAGTTAAAAATTAGTCAAATACACCTCTACCCTGATATAACGCGACCTGTTATGACACGAATTCGGATATAACGCGGTAAAGCAGTGCTCCGGGGGGGCGGGGCGGCGCACTCCAGCGGATCAAAGCAAGTTCGATATAACTTAATTTCACCTATAACGCGGTAAGATTTTTTGGCTCCCAAGGACAGCGTTATATCGGGGTAGAGGTGTACTTGCTATTAAGTCATAACGGTCACCTCAGTGCATAAAAATGGACAATGATCACAAACTGTGTTATGATTTGCTATTTTAAAAAAATCCTCATCAAATTGAGATCTCCTGGGGTGAGGGGGTTCACTGACATCTGAGCAAATGTGACTCCATCTGTATATAGCTTTCATAATCATGGCAAGTGGGGCATATGTCTGTCATTGGAGATTTTTAAGAGCAGGTTAGCCAAACACCTGTCCAGGATGGTCTAGAGAAGACTTAGTCCTTTCTTAGCTGGAGACTGGACTAATAGACCTCTTGAGGTCTCTTCCAGTCCTACGATTCTATAATATTAGGATCATGGAGTTATGCTAGGATATTAATGAACTGCAGGGGTGGGGGAGGGAAGGGGGATAGTGTCTATTTCAGAAGTACTGTAATATTATGCACTACTGGATGAGCATGGAACGAGATCACTTACAAGCTAGAATTTGTGCATGATGAACAGTATGTTATTTAATCATCTGATACACATTTCACTTGGAATTGCTGAGCAGACCATGGTCTGTTCACTTTGGAGAAGGGCTACCATGCATTAGATAAAGTGTTAGAGATAACCTGGAGTCAATTACTCCGGAGTGTTGTGGAGAGAGAATTCGTTTAGACTGCTGAGAAATTGGTGAGCGTGGGCCACCCAGACATTTCCCAACAGCTGTCACAGCTAGTACAACTTTGAGCAGTGCTGGTGTTTGGCTTGGAGGAGATCAGATATGTTCACCGCATAAATAGTTGGGGACAAACAAGGTCACTGAAACTGCAGCCATCAGAAGGTGGATAACAATGGTGGTGGTGGCCCTGAATGGAGTGCTGAGTATCCTCAGGACCCAGTTCAGTTACAGTCCACTGAGATACACTGAAGTAGCTAAGATATGCACCTGCCCCCACCCGTAAAATATCGAAAATGTCCCTTTCCTTACATTTCTACGGCCAATGGGTATGAAACAAAAAAATAAGAGGCCCAACTGGACTAATTTTTTTAGGGTGCTATCAACTGTATGTGCAAGTTATAGCCATTTAAATGCCAGCTATTTGACTGCACCCAGTAGTCAGGTAATTTGACATCTAAATGTGCACTTTCACAAACAGAAATATGCCGGGGCAAGGCCTCTTTAAAATTTGGCCCAAAATGTATAATTAGTTGCAGTTACGTGAAACAAAACTAGACCATACTGTGCAGAAGAAGAGACAGGAGTGTGTTAGAATGATGTTTATCATGACCTGTGAGAGTGAAAGTGCTCATCAAGTGAAACACACTGTAAGCTCTTCAGTCTGAGGTACATTTTTGTTTTATGTTCTTATCCTTTTTGTTTTAATCACTTATTTGCTCTTGCAACAAAAAGGAGATTTTACATAAAGCAAGGGTAGAAGTGTGCACTGAGTTCTTTTAATTTGTCTTAATTATTTATACTAAAGAGACATATTGATATTCCTAATTGTTTAATGTTTAGCAAAAAATGGTTTCATACTATAAAATGACTTGCCTGTTGCTCAGTGAAAGTAATTTTCTCATGAAGAGCCACACGGTTCTTCATAGCAGAATGCTATACATTTAGGAAGAGATTACTCCTCTAGTTTGTAAGCAACTCTGGACTGCGGTTGTGTCATCTCTTGAGGTCATATGGGCCCCACAAAGGGGCTTAGGTTCCTAACCCCCCAGTTTTAAGCATCACTACCATCTTCAAAATCCCCTCTGAGCTGCCACCTAACCCTGGAGGCAAAGGGATAAAAAAAAAATCAATATTTTGAAACCAAAAAAATCAAACTTATTTAAATTAGATATTTTGTATTTAAATTAAATTCAGATTTATTTTTTAAAACCAAACCTATTTAAAAATACATTTGAAAGTGACAACCTATGTTGAAGGCTAAAATTATTATAAGCTATTAAAACCATTTAAATATAAAAATATTAAGCAATACATGTTTGCTGCCAAGTTTTCAAGAAAACCATACCCATGAACTGGTGGAAGTTACTGGAAACAGAGTTTGTTGAAATACTAAACTAGCTTCTGACAGCAGTAGCCTCTTCTGCAATTGCAGAGAGAATATTTTCCTCATTTCAGTTTATTCAGCTAGTTAAATTCAATGAGTAGTTCATTCAAAGTTAAGAAGCCAATTGGGAGTTGAAAAAGCAGGAAAGCTTGTTTACCCTCTCCTACTTGAAGAATTAAAAACTAGGTGTGAGAGAATGAGATCTACTAGTTCTAAAATCTCAAAGGGCATGGTGACTAGAAACAATCAGTTCAATTCATTAACTACAGATAATATTTCTTTTGTTTAATAAATCAGTTTTAAATGCAAAACATGTTTTGATAAACTTTCCTGTGTATTCAGCACTCTTAAGGTAGTTTTATTTAATAAAAAAGTTAAAATGCTGTTTTAGTGCACTTTTAATTAAATTTGAGTTTCCATCCAAAGAGAGCTTGATACACATCACAAGTAAAAAATAAATAATCTAGTAAATAAGAGATGCATCATTCACCATTTTCTAACATGATAAAATATTTAAAAATTAAGAATCTGAATAAATGTAAATTAAGCTATATACTTGTTTAAATAAATATATATAGATATATTACATCCTACTGGTTAGTAAAAAGAAGCACCAAAGATTATATTTAGTTGCAAATAAAATGTTTTAATAGTACTAACTAATGAGAATCAACCTTTCTTTAGGAAAATAATTAAAAAGTACAAATGCAAAACATGATTTACATTAATTATTTAAATCAAGGTTTTCTGCTTGGTGATTTAAACCATGATTAAAATTGGTGATTTAAATCAATCCACCTTGCCTGTAGGCGCCTAAAGTCCTAATGTAAAAGTTCCTTAAGAGCCTGAGGGCTTGTGTATACTGCATGCTAAATCGGCACTGCTGCAATCAATGCAGCGGCATCAATTTAGCGGATCTGGTGAATACGTGATGAGTCGATAGCAGAGCACTCTCCTGTCGACTTCAGTACTCTACCTCCCCAAGAAGCGAGATGTAACTGACATTGACTTAAGCAGCAGTGTAGACCAGGCCTAAGTTACTGCCTCTGGGCATGTACACTGCTGCTCTAGCAGGCATCCGGACGCCCATCTCACTCCTAAGCTCCAGTGCAATCCTCAAACGAGGTGGCGATGGGCAGAGCAATGCCTATTCCATTTCAGTTCCCCCCTGTGTCTGATGAGGAGAAGGGGTTTGAACAGGGGTTTCCCATCTCAGTGGGCTATGGGATATTCCAATGGGAGTCTCAGTCTCTTGTTGAAGCTGTTCCACTTTGTATTAAATATTAATTAAGCCACTGGGGGAAGGAATGACTCTATAGCCTAGTTAT